GCTTGCGGGTCGCTGACAGACGGAGAGTTTCACAGCACCGCATGGTGGAGCGCAGGTTCTCCTCGCTGGACACCGTGTGGGAAGCTTAGCTTGTCCACCGAATCCTGAAGAAGTTCTCCAGCTTCTGTGTGGGGTGCTGTTGATGCGAAGTTCGGCAGCGGTTCAGGCCATGCAGGCTATCCAGACAGATGCCAGAAGAGGTGACCAGGCCGGCTGCCAGATAATCGGCATTCAGTGTAGTCTGAGTTGAAGGTGTGCGGGTCTGGTTGGCGTTACCTAGGATCTAGCTTCCAAGTCAGCAGCTTCTGCCATCATGTAGTTGGGAGGATGTCGAGCCAATCTACCACTCCAAGAATGCCAAGTGCGTTGAAGCACAACACCCGTCTTTCTGAATACCGAAATACCGAATCCCTGCTTCCACCCAAAGGCAATGTGCCTGGTCTGAAGCTCTGCGTTTCACCCAAACAACATGGAGTCCTCCGAATCTAGCTTCCGAGTCACAAACCCGACCTGTGCATCCCATGGAACATCTCCAATCGCAGTCTCACAGCTGTCAGCCCCAGGGCTATGTCGGACCGACGTTGGAGGAGGCCCTCAGGAAAAGTTGAACTGATGGTTTTGGAGTTTGCGCTATGCTGCCGCGAGAGCGCCGGGCAGTGGGTCTCCGAAACCCACAAGATCGCAAATTTGTCCCGCTTCGACAATCAGAATCTGCTTAGTTAAAGATCAAGAGAAAAGAGACGCGTGTCTTGATCTGGCAAAGCATTGCATAGGCGGAAGTGAAGTGGACTGGTCCTATCAGGGGGTGTTGCCATGCTCTTGCACATGGGGCAGCCAAAGATTCAGGGGTTGTTGAAGACAGCCGGCCGATGTGTTCTCGTCAGGCTTTGCCAGACGGTAAAGACGCGGTGCCCGCCATGTTTTCGGCGCGTTTTGACGGTGGCGAGATGGAACAGAAGTTTCGGCGAGTGCACAGGATCCTCGAGGCACGGCTTTCGCATAAGTTAGCATGTTCACGTTTTTGCTTGCTGCGATCCCTCGAGAATTTCGGATTCGAAGCATTTGCAACATGAGTGACACAATCTGGAAGGATCACAACTTTCCAGTGCGGATGGTCGCAGCTGGAGGTGGTGACGATTTTGGCAGGTCTACAATGAAGTATCTGAGCGAGCTTGACGAGAAGGGTGGCGTGCTGATTTGTGTTTGCACGGCACATTATGCTGAGAAGACCAAGTCACCCTTCAGCTCTTTCCATGAATTAAAGTATGCGCAAGACTACAGTCTGGATGTTCTGCCGCTGCAAGTGGCAGACGTCTATCCCCCACGACCGCCAAGCGGTCCAGATCATTTCAACGACAAGGACGGCGAAGCGCAGGCCGTGATCAAGATGGTCTTGAGACCCAACGTTGCGTTCAAGGACCCTTCGATCTCGTCAGAAGACTTTCCCTCTCTTCAATCTAGGGAAGATGCATTCGAAGTACATGCGCCGACTTGTGTGAAACTTGTGTGAAGATGAAGAACCCTAAACCCTAAACCCTAAACCCCTAAACCCCTAACCCTAAACCCTTAACCCTAAAACCTAAACCCCTAAACCCTAAACCCTAAACCCTAAAGCGTTACCACACCGGGCAACTCAGGACTGCCGTGACCTCGATGAGATGAAGATCGCCCGAGTGATCGCAGAGAAGTTGCTGAAGAAGCGGAGCCTCGCCTAGAGATGTCCCTGCGAAGTTGCGGTGGCCGGTGTTATTGGTATACAGTCCCTTTTTGCACTACAGTCTACAATGCAGTATATCCTATAAAGACCCTAGGGCAGGGTTTGATGACGGGTGGTGTTATTGGTAACAAGATCCCCCCCCCCCCATACAGTCCCTTTTTGCACTACAGTCTATACGGTATATCCTATAAAGGCCCTAGGCCAGGGTTTGAAATTTTGAGCCGCCGGACCTTGAACCACGACGTTGCAAGAGAAGCCGAGGCAAGGCACAGGACATGGATGAGAAGTCAAGGCACGCATTGGCCACCGCCTTCAGAACTTTCGACAGGGTTTCGGGGGGGAGCGGGGGAAAGTGGGGTATATCATACTTTCATCATAGATGCTGAGGGGTTTCAGCTCGATCCGGCAGGGCGGACCGTTGCGGTTTTGGGGTGCGGGGTGTGCAGGTGTACGGATGAGGGCGCTCTGTCAGGTCGCTGACGCCGCGCCAGCAGCGACGTGCCTGTTCTGCTTGCCTGAGCGCCTGCGCAGCCGAGGATTTCGTACTTCGTAATCAGGCTGGTTTAGGGTTTCTGGTTTAGGAGTTTAGGGTTAGGAGTTTAAGGTTTCGGGTTGGTTTCGACGTTCTGGACGTCGTGCAACTATTCGGCTGCGCATGCCTGCACAATAGCCGGGATTCTCAAAGAGTTGGGGACGGCCCAAAATGAAGATGTGACAAGCCCCTCATCAGCCAATGTGGATCGGATCAGCCTTCGGAGCCTTAGAGTTTCAATGCTTTCTCAGACCCGTCCAAGCATTCTCTCTTTGGCGCTCTTTCCCCCACAGCCACTCTCGGACGTTCGAGTTTTTGCCCGTTTCGCCGCACGGCACCGATGGCAAAGCCAGTTGCCGCGATGGCACAGCCAAGAATGCGTGTGTTGAGGTCAACTGCGGGCAATGGCAATCCACCGAAGCTTCAGCCACGGGTCGTAGCACTCGGAACAGGATTCATGCCAGGCTCCATCTCCGGAAGATGCCCCTGCCCCGGGCCAAACTCTCACACCAATTTCAGGATCTTTAGACTTTAGACCGGGCGACCTGCCCTATCGCCTGGCGATGGACGCGTCGGCCGCATCTCCGGCGGCCACCCGGTCCGAAATGGAAGTCTGAGCCTCCGGAGAGACTGTGTTGGCAGACTCTTCGGGTGCAACAGAGTTCGGAGTTTCACCCATTCTCGGATGCAGCCAAAGCCGACAAGCTCGCCGGAGAAACGAAAACATTGCAAAGAGGCGCTTGCGTGTGGCACACTCCTCAGTCACAACGGGAGTGCGGCGTTCATCATGCCGTCTAGACGGCCCAGTCAGCAGGCGTAGATAGATGCACATACGATGTACGGCTGGTGCCCACGGTGTCACTTCCATCCCCGGACTTTCTACGTTACAAATGCGCCGGCGACGGTGACGACGACGACGAGCAGAGGAGGGACGACTACTGTCTACAGGGACGTCGACACATGCCGGCATGATTTCACGAAGAGAGAAGCATCACGGCGTCGGTGGATGTTGTTGTCGCATGGAACATGAATGTATCAATGCTTCATGCTTCCACAGACCGACTATCCGAAGAAATCATGTTGCGAGAAAGTTCCACACTCAAGTTTTTCGCATTGAGATACAGTGTATGAGCCAATATTGTAATCATTTCAAGCCCGGCAGTACTCAGGGTTCTTAGTTCTCTTGCGTTGCAAAGACTTGGTGCCAATCTTCCCACCTGTATGGAGCCGCATGATGCAGCCGCCTTCGGCCGGCGACGAAACCCCTCCCAAGCTGTGGGTTCATGTGCCAGCCTTGGAACAGGAGTCTCGTAGTGGCCTTTTTGCTGCTGTTGTTGGAGTGTTCTGGCAGGTTCCCCTCGGCGAACAGCGGCATTGCAGTGGTTGTTTCTCAGAAGGCCATGGTTGAATGAGAGCCTGTTGTGCATGGTGACACTCATGACAGTGTAAGATGTCGAATGCTGTGTGTCCAGGACAAAGCGAACGAGCAGCCACCCGAAACCCTAAACCCTAAACCCTAAACCCTAAAAGCCTGGCTCGACCAAAACAAGCTCAGAGTTGAAGCTCTTCCATCTTGAGTGCGTCGGTTGGCCTTGAGCGCATGTCTAGCGGGTTTAGGGTTTAGGGTTTAGGGGGCTTCAGCACCCACACTCACACCCTACAGAAGCGAAGGAAGCTAAGTACTCTGGTCCTCCAAACCTCGATGCCAGCTCCCCGAGTGTCATGGTTCCGGCACGTTTGCGGTTTGACGATTTAATGCCGGCCACGAATTCAGGTTTTTGGGCTCGGGCTTCATTCGGAGGTTTGCGCCACGCTGCAGGCTTTTGGAGCGGCTCTGAACTTTGAACAGCCCGAAATGTTTTCGAGAGGCCTCGTGGCCAATGGCTGCGAGACTGAACCCCAAACCCGGGTTCTCGAGCTCAGACGTCAGCAGCAAAACAGCCACGGAGGGAGGTTGTCGCGTCATGCTTAAGGTAGAAACCTGAAACTGATTAAGAAACCCTGGTTCTATACCCCCAATTATAGTAGGATTCCTACAACGACCCCTGGTAAAGACCCAGGGTTTCTTAATCAGATTCCTACATTACCCCTGTGTCCTGAGACATGCTTTGGTTCTTCGTCAGTTTTCATGAATAGCGATCTTCAGTCAGAGACCTTTCGGTGCAGACCCAGAGACTCCAAAACCCCCTTGATTAAGGAATATACCTTAAATCTTACTAGGGTTCCTATAATGCTTTAAGGTATATTCCTTTATTAAGGGGTTTTGGAGTCTCTGGGGATACTGTCTTATGGTTTTCAAGTTTTTGAAAGAACTAGCACGCGACCACTCCTCGTGCCATTACTTGCGATGACGTTGTTCTTCTTCTCGGAGACATGTTCGCTGAGATTTCTCAGTCTTCCGGCTTCCACATCAGCTTCATGAAGCGAAAATGCATACAATTGCTCTTTATGCTTGTGTTATAAGTCATGCCCGGCTTGTTTAATTTCAGCCGCTCGGGTTGCTAACAACCACGAAGAGTGTTCCCGTGATGCGAAGTCATCCTACGATTAGCAGACAGAGGGCCCTAGGGTTACAGTTTATTTTTATCGATGTTTGGTTTAGGGTTTAAGGGTTTAGGGTTTAGGGTTTAGGGTTTAGGGTTTAGGGTTTAGGGTAATGAATAAAAATGTAACAACAATTACAGTTTATCTGTCAGACGCTGAGCACTGGGCCGCGTGACACACCTTGCGTCAATGTCTACAGAGTTTTCTGCCCTTGTCTCACTCCCCGGCGAAGCTGGCTGGGCCCAATTCAAACAAATGAAATCGGTCAACATGGCGACCTCCATGCTACAATCCTAACTTCCTGCTACGTCAGACTTAGATGAAGCACTGAAACCAGGAAAGCCTTTCAAAGTCAAGACGCATACTTTGGAAAGTCCTTGTTGAGGGAAGGTGCGCAACCATGGTGGCTTTTGTCGAAAACCTCAAACCTGAACTGCCCTTGAGTCCTAAACCCTCAGCTCAACCCCCTAAACCCTAAACCCTAAACCCTAAACCCTAAAAACCCTGGACCGAAGCGCCCCGGCCGCATGCCCGATGCCATGGATGTTCCGAGCCAGTCCAGATGAACATCGCCCGGCTTCCCGTTTTCGGGGTTCCGGATTTTTTTTATTTAGGGTTTAGGTTTGAGGGTTTATATTTTTTAGGGTCTAGGGTTCAGGGGTTTCTTTTTTAGGGTTTAGGGTGTAGGGCTTTGGGGTTTAGGGTCTAGGGTTTGGGGGTTTATTTTTTAGGGTTTAGGGTTCCCCCCCTGGGTTTATTTTTTTCGGGTTTAGGGTTCAGGGGTTATTTTTTTCGGGTCTAGCGTTCAGGGGTTTATTTTTTAGGGTTCAGGGTTCAGGGGTATATATTTTTTAGGGTTTAGGGTTTAGGGCGTAGGGGTTTAGGGTTTAGGGTTTAGGATTTTTGGATGGCCCCTGGGGTTTTTGCCCGTTTTCGGGCGCTGCGGGACTTCGGGCCCGGGTTTCGGGCTCTGGGGAGTTTAGGGTTTAGGGTTTAGGGTTTAGGGTTTAGGGTTGAGCCTATATTCTGTTCAGTTTCCCTAAACCTCAAACCCTAAACCCTAAAAACCCCTAAACCCTACATCCTCCCTAAACCCTACACCCGTTTGGAATGTAGCACTTGGAAATTCAGCTTCTGAGGACCTGGGCCGAAGGGGGCACGGCTGCCTCCGTGGGCACGGGCTTAATATAGGGGCCTCAAAAAATTGGAATAGGGTTGGTTATACTATAATTATAATAAGGAACCCCCAAAATCTTATGCTAATTATTGAGGCCCCTACATTAGTTCCTAACCCTGCAAGAGCTCTGAGCCCAAGAGAAGTTTTCCACAATGACCAAAGGTGTCGGACCTGAAGCCCTAACCCCCAAAACCCCAAAACCCCTAAACCCTCAAAGGATCGAGGTTTTGTCCGATCTTATCGGCTTTCCTCTGAGTTCGCCTGAGGTTTCGTGGAGACGTGTTGCTCGGAAACACTACGACTGCGCGACCGAGCTACTACGTCACTTCTCCTGAACCATCTCCCCCCAGCCCCAAGCCGTTCAAACTCAGCGAAGAGAGGACTAGCGCATCTGAGGATTATGCTACATCCACATCTGGGAGTGTCCGATAATTAGGGTACCTCTTCTTGGGGTCCTTATCATAAGGATCCTACTATTTAGGGTCCTATATTAGGGTCCCCTCTTTTCGGAAACCCCATCTCACATCTACTCCTCTACCTTGGACCCCCCCCCTCCGCCGAGCTTCGCCTTTGAATGCAGCCGTCAAGCTGTTTTTCGTCAGTTTGAAACTTCAAGCTCCCTAAACCCTAAATCCTAAACCCTAAACCCTAAACCCGAAACCCGAAACCCTAAACCCTACACCCTAAACTAAACCTTGAGCGCAAGGCCCGTAGGCAGGAAACCCTGGACTGTTGATCCAAAGCC